CTGATAAGATTGTATAACAAAAATTTGTGCATCGCGCGGTCATTTTCTAGTATTTATAGTGATAAACTTTCGTTTTTGTTTTTTGCCTTTCCAAATGCATTTGACGAAAACATGTGGAGATGGAATTAAAATAAGGTTTTTTTTGTCGAAAAAAATAAAATAATTTTATATTAAGAGAAAAGGGATCAAAAGCTTCAAAAGATCGTCTAAAAAGCTAACAAATTGTCCACGAAAATACAAGAGAACCAAGCAAAAAAAAAAATCAAGTTTGGGTCAAGAAGAGTTTATCGAATCGAGAAAAACCACGGATGGAACGAGCAATTATCTTACTAGCTCGATCGTGAACAACTTGGCTAAGGACTCCATGACCACTACCAGCAGTCGAGAGTCATTGACCGTCACTTATCTTACTGTTAGGCATTTCCTAACCAAAAAATTCAGACCGATATTTGCAACTTGGAATGACTAACATTCGAGTCACAAGAACCTAATTCGAGATGGGTTTAAAAGGGGTAATGGCAAGTCTCTTTCACATTTCGTGTTCACTATTCTTTAATCAGCTGATTAATTATCATCCTATCACTTGTACCTCTTATCATGTCTAGTACTCTCCTCTGTGTAATTATATCATGTCTCCAAAATTCAACAAAAAAATAACAACTCTTTATAGTATTACACAAGAAAATAAAATAAAAGCCAAACCACAATATATATGTGTATATTTGAAAAATCATGTTTACATATATACGTACTTACTTCGATCTGTATAATGTATTTAAGTAAAGCTCCGTAAATTAATTATACCCTTAATTATTTTGCTCCCTCATTTTTAATTATCACCTTGGTTATATCTTTTTCAATGATTCTCCTTTAGACCTTCAATGGATGCAGAAGCAGGACAGGTCCAGTTAAGCAACTCCTCGATCATCTGCATAGCCATGTGATCTTCTTCCTCAACGTCGTCGTTTGGTTTCTTCATCTTGTTATTCCCAATATCACCGGAACGTGCGTTCACACTGTCACCGAGTTCAACGATCTTGACCCAGTCTTGACTCGTTTTCGACCCGGCCCGTTTCTGCCAAACGCCGATGTGTGAGCTATCGTTGTCGAGGCGGAGACACGTCAGAAACGGTGTCTGGTCTTTACAGTTCTTCCTTAGCTTTGCGTTTAGGAGCTCCGATAACGATTTTGGTGATCTTAACGGTGAGTTAGCGTCCGGAGAATCTGAGCCGTTGGATTTGATGACGGGAAAGTTGGTCTTTGCGTTCTGACCGTTCATTAGAACTGCGGCTTGGTCGTAGGTTCTAGCCGCTGCTTCCGCTGTGTTGAATGTTCCTAGCCACACTCTTCTCTTCCTGATCGCTCACACACACACATACATTAATTACATAATTATAATAATATTTAAAAAAGCAAAACACACAGTACATGATATAAATCATAATGTTTCCTTTCTTTTGGGTATAAATTATGAATTAGATAATGTTGCTGATCATAAGAACATCAAAACATTAATTTCTAGTAGTCAGTATATTTTTCTTGTTCTTCCATAATTTAATGTTCTTCCCAAATTCTTTGCTAGTATGGTTGTTTGACAAATTAACCCTTATATATATATAAACAGATTTAGCCAAAGAGGATAATAGGGCATTAAAGATGTATATCCTTA